CGTATAGCATAGCCAAAATGGCCAAAAGAGGGATTCCCGAATAATGAGTCAGAAATTTCGAATCTCCCAGCTCTATTTTCGGTTATTTTCGTTCGTATTCGGGGCGTGGCTAATGATCTTTAAATGACGGCGATAAATATCGTTTGTTAGCTAAGTGCATCGGAGAAATGCACTTTAATCAGTTGAGAGCGAGCTCCATAAATAGCCCAGGGGAAAGTGCCATTTTCACTTTCGATTTTGGATTTTATTTTACCTTTTGACCTTCCCTCTTAATCCAGTTCAATCGTTTGATAAATCTTTCGACTTGCTTAATATATAAATGTTTATGCCACGAACAGATCAAGAGTTTGTTTCAATTGTGTCACGTTTGCTTTGACATTGCGATCGGCGTCGGAAAGAACAACAATGCAAATTGCAATGCCCAGCCAGAAAAACAAAATATAAACTTCTTGGCTAATTTTAGTCGCCTCAAAAGGCGGCCCAAGGCACGAATTCGAAATACACAGAGATAAATACTATAGCAATTCGAAAATACTTAAATTTAAGACTTAAAATAAATAAATAAACATAAAATACCACGAAAAATCAACAAAAATTTAAAACGCAAATTCTTCAGTCGAAGTCGAAAGTGCAATATTAGGGCATTAAGGCCTGTAAAACATTTTTTTTTCTGTGCACGGCGGCGTAGTCTTAATGTAAAATTGATCGAGCATCAGTGCTCTTGTTGCTGCCACTGTTTCTGTTTCAGATTCTGTTTCTGCTAATTGGCATTGGCCATAAAGACATAAATTTTGCAATTAAATTGTAAACACCAAAGTGGAATGCCCCAGCCGAAGGACAAATGGAAAAGGGCCAGTGTCGTAGGAATAGGGAGCGAACCCCATTCAAATCCTATCCCCAATTAACCTCTAACGCAATATCACTCCGATCCACTTGCCCATTAGCTCAGCTTCATGTCATCTGTGAAATGCGAAAGTGATTGCTCGCTCTGTGTGGGACATTCCCTTGTTCCAAGGGAATGAAGACCTCACAGTGCGAACGGGGTATTATTTAACCCATTTGCTAATTGTAAACCACCAATTTTTGACTTTTCAGAATGCGGCAAATGCAGAGTCAGCACCAAAAGGCTAAACCTAAACAAGTTCTGCAAAAGAGACTACGGTGAGTTTGGAGAATCAAAATATAATAAAAATATAGCATAACATAATACAATAATATCATAATATGATATTTTAATTTTATAAAACGTATCATTTGACTCAATTTTTAAGTTAATTCAAATATGATACCCATTATAAATATTGTACTTTTAAAATAAGTACCATTTGGTTATTTTTTTTTATTTATCTATTGTTTTTTAAGACCATCCTTATAAATCAAAATCTCTACTGATATATTCCTTTCCCCCACTAGCAATAATGGCCAAAGTAATTGGTCGCGATACGAGCAGCGAGGCGGCCAGCAGGGAGTCTCAGCGACGCGCAATGGATCCCGACGTGGCGGACTACGAAATGGACCAAGATCAGCCGGGATCGCCGCGGTCGCCGATTACGACGGAGTACGAGTTCCACTATCCCAATCCAAACTCCAGTCCCAGCGACAGCGAAATGGAGCACTACGATCTGCAGATCCAGGCCGTCTTCAAGCGCAGCAGGCCAGGCGAAAGCAGCGGCGCGGGGAACGTCTACGGAATGCCGAGTACAACCCTAAAACGCGGTCCTATGACCTGGATCATACCGACTAAGGACCTGGAGTGCCGCTGCCCCAAGATCAGAGTAAACAGGTGAGCTTTGTGGGGTAGAAAAAAAGACTGTAAGATCACCAGAAGCACTTGACATGGATGATACCTACCCAATATTAAGAACAAGATATGAAAGTCATGGTAACTTTACAATCAAGATATCCACCTTTGAATATTTCAAAAACTATGGTAATATAATCCCTTTAGAGACATTTTCTTCTTAATAGGGTAAAGTTGGTAATTTAGATAGTTTTCTTGGGAGATGATTCCTTATCCAAGTTATAGGACAACCTATGTAAATGGTATCCCGATATGTAGAGTTAGAAATACTTTTTATTATATCATTTTTTAATTCGAAATCCTTTTGTTACAGATCCTATTTGATCTTGGGTCGGGACTCGGAGGCGCCACCCGGTTACCTGGGCATTGGGCCGCACTCCATAGTGATCGAATGGAAGGAGGACTGGTATCGACGCATGAAGCGCTTCCAACGGAGGGCGCGCACCTGTGCGTAATCCTCATCCAGATGATTATAGTCCCACTCCCTGTGTGTAGTCCCAAGATTCTAGGTCCTAAGAAATGATTGAGAGCACAGAGCCGAACAGGAGAAAAACAATCAAATCGTGTCATTGTCGCTTAAACAGGTTTTTTTTTGTTTTTTTTTCTTAAATGTCAATGTCAAATTAACCGATTTTGTAGCAGTTTAAAATCAAACTAGTGGTATTTTATTTATTTAACTTTAACTTCAATTGTTACAAAACAATCGGTTATTGATTAACTTCAATCAACACACACGAAAGTATCTATACATGTAATCTATGTAATCTATATATACGACTTGTATTATTCGCTAAATTAGGATTCCTGTCAGCCCAGTTTAAGCATTTGTGAACAATTTACGTACTAGGGCAGTCTCGAGGAAGCGAAACGAGCGCCAGTAAGCAATAATTTATTTGTAAGAAACACCTTGATGCATGCATGACTCGCAAAAAATCGTAATTAATAAATATTGTACAGAGCAGAGGAAATGTTTTTCTAATTTCAAATGTTTGGCGGGTATTTGAGAGTGCTGCCAGACTTTCTAATTGCTGGTGCTGCCATTTGCAGGCTATCGTTGCCATCTGTTCGGTGCCGCCGTTTGTTATTGGATAATTTTATACCCTTAACTTTTTAAATGTTTTTGCGTAAAATGTATACGGATGAGCACACATAAATTTATTTTTTATTTTACCATGGCTAATTTGTATATGCCTATATTTCAAATTTAGTTTTAAATCTTAAACGCTGCGCGGGCTGTTAGCCATGTGGCAGCTCCAATCAGATTATGGCGTTGCCACCCTCACAGCTATCGATTGTGCCTATCGATAACGGAACAGTTGTTTTGTGTTTTGTTTACCTTTTTGTTTGCTTAAATTATAAATAAATAACAATGGAAAACAAGAGGAAATGCAAGGTATGATGGACTATACGGATTGCCCAGGATGTTGAGCATGCCGACCTTATCATGGAAGTCAATTCGGATAAATCCGAAATGGAGCGTGCTTGTTTTCACACACAAACACATGGAGTTTTTCAAGAACTGGAATTATCCTTGAATTCAAAAGAAATGGAGCTGTTTAAAGCTAACTAACATATGCTGGATTCTTAAGTCATCTAAAAAGAAGGTTTGAAAGCAGTACATTTAAAATTTTACATATATTTCTTGACATTGGGTACTTTCCCGCGCCAAGATTTTGTTTTCATACATACATATGTATGTATGTTTGTATGTCCATTAAAGTGGTCCTTATTTCTATAAAAACTTTTAAGATCCCTTAATTCTTCTATATAGTTGCCGTTGAGGTATACACATATGTTAGTGAGGCATTGCAAAAATAATTTTTCGAAAATAATACGATTCACATAGGTCCCATACATTGACTCCTAATTATATTATTCATACGCACTGTTGCCTTTGATCAAATACACTATTTATACCCGTTACTCGTAGAGTAAAAGGGTATACTAGATTCGTCGGAAAGTATGTAACAGGCAGAAGGAAGCGTTTCCGACCCCATAAAGTGTATATATTCTTGATCAGGATCACTAGCCGAGTCGATCTAGCCATGTCTGTCTGTCCGGATGAACGCTGAGATCTCGGAAACTATTGAGATTTGGCGTGCAGATTCCTGAGCTTCTTACGCAGCGCAAGTTTGTATCAGTAGAGTGCCACGCCCACTCTAACGCCCACAAACCGCCCAAAACTGTGGCCCCTACAGTTTTGATGCTAGAATAAAAGTTTTAACTGAAATGTAATGTTCTCATCAATACCTATCGATTGACCCAAAAAAAAGTTTGTCAGTAGAGTGCCACGCCCACCCTAACGCCCACCCTAACGCCCATAAACCGCCCACAAACTTCAAAAAATCGTAAATATGAACGTGGATATCTCGGAAACTATCAAGGATAGAGAATTGGGATTTCAGATTTAGATTCCGTAGCCTTATACGCAGCGCAAGTTTGTTACGCGAAAATGCCACGCCCACTCTAACGCCCACTCTAACGCCCACAAACCGCAAAAACCTGTGACGCCCACAATTTTTATGCTAGATAAAAAACGCCCATAACGCTTAAATCTGTATACCGCCGGTAGGTGGCGCATTTTAATCTCGCTTTGCTACTTGCATATCTCTATTTAGCTGAGTAACGGGTATCTGATAGTCGAGGTATTCGACTATAGCGTTCTTCCTTGTTGACTGCTTTTGATGTGCGGATGGTTTTGCCCAAGAAATTGTCCTACACACTTGAGTTCGCATTTCTTTTGAAGTTCCCGGTGCTTTTGAATAAAATAAGTCCTGGGCAAGAAAATAACAACTTAATCGAAACCAATCAAATATTTATTTATTACAATATATTTTCTTTGATATTTGTTATAAGATGCGCTTTATAAGGGGAGAGCTGGGCATGAATAGTTACAAAAGTTAGGATAGATAGAGCGCTCACATTGAAAATGATATCGGTAATATACAAAATTGCTTCATGGTTCCGCCAATGAAAATGGCTTTTGGTTTTAAATATGTTCTGTAAATGGTAACAAGGCCATTTGTGTTTTTTCTCCCTAAAAGAAGAGAAAAAGCGTTCTTCAGGAAATCTTAGACATCTTGCTAGCCATGAAATTTTTTATGGTTATATTTTAGTTAAAGAATATTATTTTTGATCTAAACAATTTATTTTGAACTAATAACAATTTATTTAACATTAAACTTTTTTTTAGCACAGATCGATTTATGTAAAATTTTTTTCTTGTAACATCAATGAAGGTTAAAATTGTCGAGAACTATCCTATTTCTTGAGAATATAATTCAGTGCCACTTTGGCACTTTACTTTGACTTGACTTTAAAAAGTTGGCCATCGACCTCGGCGCAAGTATAGTATTAACAGTTCCGCAATTGCGACAGGTAATCACGTGTTTAACGGTTTGAGCCTTTCTTGGTTTCGGCAACTTTCCTCTTTTGGTTATTTTAGTATTTACCTTCGGCTCGCTTGATCTATTTTGAAGCTCCCGACGACTTCTTTCACGACTTGCAATCCTGGCGCTCCTGCGAGTCACGGGAATCGTAGCTTCTGGTACGGGTAATATAGGCGAGACTTCAACCATTTCCCTAGCCTCGACAATTTCTTCTGGCGGTGGTGACATATCCCAAGAGTGATTTACCACGATCACCCGAGGATATAAATGCTATTTAGAAGTGTTAGAAGTCGTACCACAATTATATTCCATCTATATGTACCGGTAATTGTTCATCGCTCATTGTGTTTTAGGCCTTTTTTACTTATTTGCTTCAGTATTTGTATATATGTTACTCGGTCAAAAAATATAAGTGAGTGTGATTTTTTCGGTTTAAGTCTGGCAACAAATATCAATGGCTCCTATGTTTAAAAAATTGGGAATGGCATGTGTTTGATTTTGCTAACTTTTAGTTATCATCGTTTTTATACCCGTTACTCGTAGAGTAAAAGGGTATACTAGATTCGTCGGAAAGTATGTAACAGGCAGATGGAAGCGTTTCCGACCCCATAAAGTATATACATATATTCTTGATCAGGATCACTAGCCGAGTCGATCTAGCCATGTCCGTCTGTCTGTCCGGATGAACGCTGAGATCTCGGAAACTATAAGAGCTAGGATGTTGAGATTTGGCGTGCATATTCCTGAGCTTGCCACGCCCACTTTAACGCCCACAAACCGCCCAAACCTGTGACGCCCACAATTTTCATGCTAGATAAAAAATTTTAAGTGAAATGTATTAATCTCGTCAATACCTATCGATTGATCCAAAAACAAATTTGACACGCCCACTCTAACGCCCATAACGCTTAAATGTGTCTACCGCCAGTAGGTGGCGCATTTTAGTCTCGCTTTGCTGCCTGCATATCTCTATTTACCCGGTTCAATATATATATTTATTTATACACTTTCCAAAAGTGCTGCTTTAAGAAAATGGTATTAACAAAAGCTGTTCAGAAAAGCCCACAAGCAAGGGTTAAACAAATAACAGGCTATAGTTAAAATAAAAAAGCCATCAAATGAAAACGGTATAATTATAAGCAAGACGAAACTAAATACAACCAAGAAAAATGTCATGTACTCATTATTTTTTTCTCACATTTTCTCAGTACTGATATTGGATTTAATCGCTTTTCATTTAAATATAAACATAAACAGAAGCATCATACACTCGAAAAACAAAGTTTACATTGCAATGTATATTATCATTTTCCCATCATAAAGGTGAAAGACTTTTTTTTGAAAACAGACAAGTAAAATATTTAAGTTTTTCCAAATCTACATTTATTTTCCATACCAATATCAACTAATTGCCATTGCTTCCGTTTTATTGTCAAGCAAATTGGCAACTTTTTTGTTGACAATTTATCATTATTACAATGATTGTTGGTTTATTTAACAAGCATCTAAAAAACAGGAAATTTAATTAGCTGACAATTTGATTGCTAGCAAATTAGTTTTTTTTAGCAAAAAGGTTTGTTAAAAATATAATGACTTTAAATTAAATATTAAGCTTAGTTCACTGGTGTAAAACACACGTATTTGGTAAAATGGAAAATTATCACTTAGTGATGAAGGATAATTTAGAATTTTATTCTAAACGTGTTTTCTACTTTGCAAATTTAATTGGTTCAATGCATTTTCATTTATCCAATTTTCTCAATGTGCAAACACGAAATCTGAGTTAAAAACAGAGACAGCAGCTCAAATTCGTTGAAATCAGAGTTGGCATAAGCGACGAATATATTTGCTTACATTTGGGCGACAACTTGTCGCCAAGAGTCATATAAGAATAAATATGCCGAGTGTATATGTAAATCCCGATAATTGTACTAGGTTTTCCCCATAAAATATTAGCCATAAAGAAACCAGGCTAAATTATTGAACAGGTGCTTTTGACTTCTAAACTCCCCTTTAAAACTATATTGTATTTACAGTCAATACAGTCAATAGAGAGCGTGAATGTACATAGACTGTTCTAAAACTAGAAATATCCTATAGGTTATAGGCAGTTTAACCAGAGAATAAATAAATATATAAAATCCAGCATTGGTGTTGGATATTCTAAATCACCCTTCATATGCCCTTGAAGCTTACCCTCCATCTTCTTAATACATTTTGTATGTGATATTTGTGTTGGAACAACAATGTTCTATAATGATGCAATTTAAAAACGTCGTTCTATAAACTACCATATCTTAATTTGCAATTAATTCAAATACAATAATGATATATAGAATGATTAGATTACCACTTAGCTTTTCTATTAATAATCGTTAATAGAATGATAAATACCTTTAAAAGAAAACATTACTTTTGTAATTTGCCAAAACATTTTACTACAATTTAAGATTAGTGTTTTGGATTGGGTTTTCTGAATTTTCGACCAAATGGTGCTATCGTCTTGCCCTTTGCTGTTGGCCCTAAAAATACGAACAGGTGATTCCGGGCTGCAGCGTTCGGAGGCCCTGCATTTTTTGGGCCGCCAGTTCTAGCCGCTTAACAAGTGCGTTCCGACCAAAATTTGTTCCACCCAACGCCCACCGCCCATTTTACGTCATCAAGCCGCCCGATTGCCCCTCCACCCCTCTCTAGCTCTCTTTCTCCGAGCTCTTGCAAGCCGCTCGCCCACGCAAGCTCTCTCTACACAGGGAAAAATTATGATGAAGTTCACATGTAATTCAGAAATATAATGTTTTATAATGTAAAAAAAAATTTTTATTAAAAAAAAATATTTCCAAGTTAAGAAATAGTTTACCGAACTTTCATTACATTTTATCAAGTTTAACTTAGATGCCATCTAACATTGTTAAATATCTTATAATATCTAATACTCTAAGTATTACTAGAAAAAAAAGTAGCTTTTTTTTGTGCATGACTAGTAGTATTCGAATACTGCTTGACAAACAAATCGGAAACTAAAAACCGAAATTCGGGAATAATTCGTAAAGTAAAGTATGTAAATATTAGCCGATTATTGCATTTCGGTGGCTTAGTAGATGGACTAAATGTGATTTTTTTCAAATTATATTTAGCTCCAATTGAACATAACTTAATTCAAATTTCTCCCAGTGTAGCCGGCAAAGTTGCCGAAAGCTCTGCTTAACTTTCTGCTCGAAAAGGAGAAAGGAGAAGGCCGAAGAGAAATACTGGGAAAACGCCGGGCAGAGCAGAGAAGCAGGTGGAGAGAAGAGGAAAGGAGAGAGAGCGGCCGATACCGATTCCGATTCGCATTCCGATACCCGATGGCCGATTCCCGATTCCCGGCGCCTTATAAATACGCAGAGCCGCAGGGCGACGCTTTCATTCTCTCGCAGTGTTTAAAGTGACATGAAAGTGACGACATTGGCGCACTGTAGCAAGTCATGTATCAGCATGTCCAACCAAACAACACAAATCATATTCACGCCAATGGTGAGTTATCGTTATCGTTCGCTAGTTTTTTTTGTGTTTTTTTTTTTTATTTTTTTCGCTTTTTATCGCAAATTAGTGATGATTATTGGCAATATTTCCATTCAATCTCGTGGGTTTTCTGCGGTGCTAAGTGAGCGGGCAAACAATTGCTCGAGTTGCAGCATGTGATGCCAGGTGTGCGTGCTTTTTTCGCGTTTCTGCTCTGCTTTTTACTAGCTTTTTTTGTGTGTGAATTCTGTGTGAGACGCGCATGCGCATGTGCCGGAAAAAAAACGGTAAATTACTGACCGGCTAACGGTTTTCCCTGTGTGTGAGTGCGTGCTTGAATGTGCATGATTGCAGCAGAACAGCTGTTCTAATCAGTCCAAACCGAGAGGCAGGTTCATAAATATTGCAATATAAACATCGAAACTGTGACACACCCTCCTAAAAGTCGACTTTCCTAGGGGGAAAACCCATTTAGAACCTATAATTCGCATTGATTCCGCTTTAAGAACCTATCAAATGGACACTCTCCAAAGACTTTTATTCCCAAGACGGACAATTGTTTTGATAAAAACCAAGTATAAACTTAATACAGCGGCTCTTGTTGATTGACATTAGTTTTTGTTATCAGTGTGGTTCGATATTTCTACGATTTAAACATCTGTAGACTTAAGGTCTTTAGGAACATTTACTCAAATCCCTAGCAAATCAAAGTTTAGCATTCCAAACAGAAAATCCAAACGTTTTAAATGATTTATGTGGGAACTAAACATATGATTGAAGGTGAACTCATTGATTTATAGGGGTACACCAACCGATAAACTTTTTTGATAAGGTAGAGTTTATTAATAGCTCTGTTTGTGATATAAAATCCAAATATATTGGTTCTGGGTATTTTGGGAGTTATCTCAAAGTATTTAAATGTTCTAACATTTTATAGATTCCGAATCAAATATCTTGCTATGATATGACTATATGCCGTTTTGAATTTATGAATTGAAAGATGATCCTAAAGTCCTTCGTATATCTTGCAATTTCTTTTAGCAAGTGCAAACACGTCTGAATGGATATTGGCAATTACTGACTATACGACTTTCGTTCCATTTCCCTTTCATTTGAGGTTGTTTACGTTATTGTCCCTAAAAGCAATTTTACGATGCCTAAACTTGGCCACCATTCCCCGGCCCTTTCATTGTCAGTTACGCAATCGTTAAAAGCTGCCCGGGGTTGCTTATCAGTGGGTGCCGACTGTACCCCAACCCGGTCGCAGTGGTTATCTATCTATGTCCCTCAGATACACAGATGTACAAAGACAGATGGATTCCGATTCCGATTCCGGATTTCTATTCTGGCATTCGTGGGCAGGTGCTGCCTATTTATAGGCGCCGCCCACGTATTACTGGCAAAAGGTCTAATTATATACTTGTTAAGCCGGCTTTTCAGCTGGGAAACGAGCTCTCTGAGCTGAGCCGAGATTCCTTGGCAGCCGGAAGCCCTCAAAGCCCAAAAGTTGCAGTCGAGCGAGTCAAGGACAAAGTCAAGGCAACGCCAAAGGGGATGGAATGTGGGATTCTTCGGTGCGTGGGCGGGCTTTACTGGGTGGTCTGTGGGTTGTGCGGGTTGTCGTGACTGCAATTTGCACTTGACATAATTCGGACACAAAATGCTGTGCACTGTGAAAATAAACTGGAAGTTTATGAATCGAAATGGATGTGAAAAGGACATATAAAATGCATTTTTTGATTTTTTAAGGACTATGCCTTTAAACGGAACTTGGTATACCACTCAATGTTAGCTACCGTCTGTTTAATAGGTTTATATTATGGGTGCGTGCAATAACGCCCATGTTTAGTTTAATTACTGTTATTTCCCTAACCCTGGCTATATAGTTTGACTAGAAACTTATGAACATTTTTAAAATTGTACTTAAAGCAATAATTAGGCACTTTCGTAGGGGCTTTACTATCTTCATAAAAAAGAATGCTTGTACAAATTTATATATTATGAAATATATACACCTTTGTATTTGTTATAA